GAATGGTATTTGGGAGGTTATATACGGTTTCTCCAAATAGTCTTGGCCTCAAGTGATGTCATTTCTACTGTGCTTTTTTGCACCCTCAGGATATATTCCCGGACGTGGCATTGTGGGGTCAGATGGAATCTCAATTTCTAGTTCTTGAAGGAATGCCCATATTGTTTTTCAAAAAGGCTGGACCAGTTGGCATTCCACCAGCAATGAAGAAGAGTCCCTTTCTCCCCACATACATGTTCTTTTTGATGTGTGCCAAATACTGGTTTTCTATGTGTGTTACTATGGCCTCTGTAAATAGTGATAGTTTAACTTTTTTCAAATATAGATGGCTTTCATTTCTTTCTCTCACCTGGCTGCTGTGGTTAGAACTTCCAAAATAGAGTAAAAGTGGATATCCTTGCCTTGTGCCTGATCTGACGGAAAGCTGTTTTGTGACAATAAGTATGATGTTGGATGTGTTTGTTGTAAATGACCACATTCTTCTATTCCTAATGTTTCTTAAAAATCACGAATGTTCAGCCTTGTCAAAAGCTTCCTCTGTGTCTATCTTTATTCTTCCTGTTGTTGCATGATGTTACATTAATTGGTTGGCATATTATCAGATTATTCTTGCATCCCTAGAATGAATCCCAGTTGTTAATGGTGCATGTTACTTCTGATATATTGTTGGATTTGGTTTGCTAAGATTTTGTTGAAGATACTTTAGTGTCCGTGTTCATCAGGGATATCGTTTTTAACTGTAACTTTCTTTTTTCAGTAATACTTTGGCCTACTTTTGGTGTTAGGATTATGCTAGTAATCTGTCATTACCATAAAAGCTGCTAGGAAGAATTCCTGCTTCACTATTTTGGAAGCCCTTGAGGTAGTCTTTAAAGGTTTGGTAGAACTCACAAGTGAACCCATCTGATCAGGGCTTTTTTCTTGGGGAGGTTTAATTTCCTTGTTACTGATCTGTCCGGAGTTTCTACTTCTTGATTCAATTAGGGAGGCTGAATGATTCTAAGAATTCATTCAGATTCTCCAGCTTACTGGCATGGAGTTATTTGTAGTAACCTTTTCTGATTAACATCTGATTAATATTTCTGAGGGATCTGTTGTCATTTCTCCCTTTCCTCCTTGGTCCTTTTTTTTTTTTTCCTTCAGGAGCCTAGCTAAGGGTTTGTCAATCTACTTTATTCCCTAAATACAAACATAAAACTAGCTCCTTGTTTCACTGATCCTTTTGAGTATTCATTTCTGTGTCACTGATTCTTACTGTTTTTATTTCCTTCTACTTGCACTTTGGAATTTGTTAGCATTTATAGAATTTCTCAAACAGTGAGATTAAGTTATGGAATGGAACTTTTTCATCTTTCCTGATGAAAACTTTGCCCCTACCACTGCTTTTGCCGTATCACATAAGTTCTGATGGTTTCTCTTTGTTCTCGTTTGTTTCAGGAATTTCTTCTCCTTCGTTTTCCTCTTTGGCCCAATACTTAACAGTATATTAGAGCTTTTCCCAGATTTTTTATAACTAATTTCTACCTTCATGGCATCATGTCTGGAAAGATATTTTATGTGCTTTGTTTCCATGATTTTATGGACACCTGAACCGTGTCCCAGCACGTGTTCTACATGGAGAATGTTCCCTGTGCACTGGAGATAAAGGTGTATTCAGTAATACGGTGGCAAAGGTCCTATATGTGTCTCTTAGTCCAGTTTTTCCAATTCTTCACTTAGGACCAGAACAATAGTAGGCAGGGTTTGCCTTGCTCAGGGCCCATTCGGGTTTAATCACATCTCTGGCATTCCATATGGTGTCCCCCAAGCACTGCCAGGTGAAATTCCTGAGTGTAGACCCCATAGTAACCCCTAAACATCACCGGATGTGGCCCAAACCCACTGCACTCCGCCCCCCCAAAAGAAAAACCAGCAATCAATTCTTCGGTGCTTATTAACATTCGCCCTGGCTGATGTCCAGTGACAAGAGTGGGGCATTAAAATTTCCCACTACCTTGTGCTGTTGCTGCTTCTCCTCAGACTGCTTTATAAACTGTGGTGCCCCTTCACTATGTGTGTTGGCAAGAGTGGCTCTCAAGCTATTTAGTGTACAAGTGGCCATCCTTCTCTCGTTACTTGCAGTGATGTGAATGCTATTAGATCCAAGTATATGGTCCTCGCCTTTTTCAGTCTACCTTAGCATTTAGGACTATCCCAACCTTCCCTGTCTCTGTCATGCACGTTCCAGTGTACCCCTTGTAGGCAGCAGAAGGCACACTGTCCCTTTTGACAGGAGACTTCAGTTCGTTGACATTTTGAAGAAATTACTGGTATCAAGGACTTTCTTGCCATGTTTCTGGGGATTTTTGTTGTTTTTGCTTTCCGGTATTTGTTTTAAATAGGAGTCCTGCAGTATTCGTAAGAACCTAACTTATATGAGATAATGTTTTCAGCTATTTTTCAAATCGTTTTTATCACTTAAATCTCGGTGATAACCTCACAAGGTAGATTCTTGGTTGTATATTGTCATTCGGTACTTTGAATGTATCACTCCATTTTCCTCATGCTTATATTATTTTTTTCCCTTAAGTTTTTATTAGTGAAACACCATGAGGTACAGTTGTAGACTTGCAAATTTTTGTGCTTGGGTTTCAGTTATACAATGATCGAATACCCATGCCTCCACCAGTGCCCATTCTCCACCACCACCAGTCCCAGTATCCCTCCCACCCCCATCCCCCCATCCCACCCTACCTCTGTGGCAGGGCATTCCCTTTTGTTCTCTCTCTCCTTTTGGGTGCTGTGGTTTGCAAAAGAGACATTGCGTGGCAATCTTGTTCGGTCTATAGTCTACTCTCATCACGCATCTCCCATCCTGAGAGGAACCTCCCAACACCCTTTATTTGGTGCTCCCTTCTCTACCTGAGCTGCCTTTTCCCCTAGCGTGTGTGGCTGTCCTCAAAGCTATCCTCAAGCGTATATTGAGAAACCTGATGTGAATTTACACTGTTCCCCTTGAAACAATGTTACAAGGCTCTGCTTCTTTCCTGCCACGACTGTCACCCTCTCCCTCATTCTTGCCCCTTTAGTTTTGGGGCTTCACCCCGAGGTGCTCAGTTCTTACTGGCTCTGCACTCAAGGATCATTCCGGAGGGGCTCAGGGTACTGAATGTGGTGCCAGGGATCATGCCTGGCTCTGCCACATGCATGCCAAATGCCTTAAGCCCTGAACCATCTCTTAAGTTCCTGCCCTTGTGATCAGTGTCTTGCTGGTATTGCTTCTGTCCGTTCTTAGGCTTCTGGATAAACACACGCCCCCCCCCCCCCCCGCCCCCGACTGGAGGAGTTCCCAACTGTCACCACTCCCTCCAGCCATTCTTCCCTCTCTTTCCTTGCTGGTATTCCTAGGATTTGTTCCTTTTCCTATTGCCCACTAAATATCTTAGGATTTCTTCACCTTTTAAAAATCCATTTTCTCTTATCTTTTGCTCACTGACTGCAAGTGCTTTGTCTTTGAGGTCACTCTATTTTCAGCTCCTTCCATCCTGCATCTGAGTTTTGTTACGGTATTATTTAGCTTTTTCAATTGTATGAATTCTTTCATTTTTCCCCATCAGTCTTTCTTCAGCCTTAATGAATTTCTCTTCTATTGACTTCCTCAGTTCAGTGAACATTGAGCAGATTATTGCTCCAGTGTCCTCCTTGGGCAATGCTAAAAATTCTAGTATCCTTGAGGAATTTCCCTGACTTGTCACCATCAGCTGATGGGGCTAAATACCATCTTCCCCCCATCATTCACTACACTTTATGGGGAGTCAAAGGTGGAGCCCCAAGTCCCCAGTGTTCTGAGCAGTGATCCCAGTTCCCTCAGGCTGGTGCCTGTCACTCCACAGATTCCTGGCTGCCATGGATGTCCTGTATTTCTTAAATGCTTGCAAGATCATCCAGTGCAAGATTAGACATGGGGCCTGGGCTCTAGACCAAGGTGCGCAGTTGCTGGGGTTTGGAAGACGATGTGGCATAGGCAGGTATGGAGCCTGATTAAGCTGCTCAGTGAGCTGCAGGGGGTGTTATACCTGCCAGTACTTGTCCTGGGGGTGGCTGCTCTGAAGCAGGGCTGAAGCACAGGGCTTACCCCCAGAGTGCCAGCAACTCGCTCACCTCTGGGATAGCTGTACCCTCTCGGTGCTGCATGCTGCCAGCTCCTGTCTCTGACAGTGGGTACAGCACAACAATGAACCTTTTGGGGGTCTTTGTGCTAGGTGTCCTCTGACTTAATGCGGTGATTAAGTCTAGAATATCCACTTCTTACAGTTCTGAGCTGGCCTTTGCTACAAGCCTACTGTACTGTCTGGCAGCTGGACCCAGAAGAGCTTAGCCTCTCATGGCAGAGATGGCCCGTGAGGGCAGAACTGAGGCAGAGACCCTGCCCACCTATGGTTGGTGTGGCTAGCATCACCTGCTGGCTTTTAAGGTGCCATGGCTGATTCATGAGATCAGCACAAAAATGAGTTCCGGAGAAGCCTAACTGCCCAGCGGGAATCTGTCCAGTGGCTGTGCCCGGCTGGGCATGGCTCCCTGCCGCCAGCCCCTTCCCCACAGCTCACGTTCTCGAAGTCCTTCACACGCAGCGCCTCCAACTCAAGGCAGGTGTTTTCTATCTAGTGATCCCTGTTCTCAGGCTCTGCTGCTCCCGCCCAGCAGCCAGGGAAGCACGCCCAACTCAGTGTCCACTGCCATCGACAGCCCCGTCTGCCTAGGAGGTCCCTGTGGGACGCTGGGCCTTTATTTTTAGTGTTTGTGTGGATGCCATAAGCAGTCCCAGAAATGGATCATTCCACAGCCTCAGTCCCGCCTGCAGGGCCTCACGTTTTAAGTTATTATCTCAACTGCACCAACTCTACTACCAGCAGAGCTTAAACAGGCCCAACTACACTGGCTAGAATCTCGCCACTTTTGACTGAGTGCATTTCTATGTAACGGGTGGGGGCACTTATGCTTCTGTGGAGTGTAACTGCAAGGCGCTCTCTCTGCATCCACAGAGGGCCCCAGAGCAGCCAAGTGGAGCAACCAGCGCAAAGCCTCCAGAAGGAAGAACCTCCGTGACCTGGTTAGCTCAGGTAAAGCCTATTTCCATGCTTTGCTTTGTCGTGAAAGCAGTGATCTTGAAGAATGTGCCCTTCAGGGGCTGGGGACAGTACAGCAAGGAGGGCATTTGCCATGCACACAGCCTCCCCGGAGTTCAATCTCAGGCATCCCATATGGTCCCCTGAGCACTACCAGGTGTGGACCCAAAACCAAAAAAGAAAATTAGAAAGTGCCCTTCAGTTCACTCTCTTTTAGTCATTGTCACTGCCCTCCCGTTGGTCATTGATTTTCTTCAGGGCCCAGTAATGTCTCCATTGTGAGACTTAGTTGTTACTGCGTTTGGCATATCGAATACATCACGGGGAGCTTGCCAGGCTCTGCCGTGCGGGCGAGCTACTCTCGGTGTAGCTTGCCGGGCTCTCCAAGGGGGGTGGAGGAATCGAACCCGGGTTGGCCATGTTGGCTGCACGCTAGGCAAATGCCCTACCTGCTGTCCTATCGCTCCAGCCCGTTTAGAGTAGTAAGAATGTTAAATACAAGCCTTTCTAAACCCTTTTCTGACCCCGGCCACCCCTAGGGACATTGCTTCCTTCCTATGGCTCATTTGAGAAACGTTAGTGTAGAAGGTGGCACAGACAAACCACCTTCATCTACCCTGTTGGAGCCAGGCAGACAGGGACACACTGAACCATCCTCTTGCATGTTCTATTCATAGCCCCTTGTATATAGTTCCATAAAAGTGGTGTGCAGCTCAAATATTTAATAGATTTTAAATCCATTAAAAACAAAATCTTAAAAGTTACGTCGCCTACAATATAAGAAACTATGATCTGAAGCAAGTGTGGGAACATCCAACTTGCAAGCCATGTAAGACCCATGAAACTCTGTGGTATGGTTCTGGTACATGATAGGACAGACAAAGGTGCTTTCCATTAGATGCTGAGGTCCATCTGCCTCTTGTGTGTGGCCTGTGAGTGTCATGAATAGCCAGAGGACCCTTGGCAGAAAAAGTTCCACCCTTGATCTAAAGCACTGGTTTTGGTCTTTTTACATGTGTGGGCCAGCAGTTGGAAACCCCTATCCTTTAAATGTGTGACATGAAGCATTAATTATGTTCCCAGAAAGAGGAGTACAAGGAAGAGTTTCAGCTTAATGTTGGGAATGAAATCTGGGGACAATATTAAGGACAGTGTCAAACTGAATTTGGAGACAGGTCAACTCCGGGTTCTGGCGGGGCCAGTCCTCAGGGTACAGCTGAGAGAACCAAGAGGTGCCGATTATCACACTCACCTCAGAGAGTCCCTCTTCCCTTGCAACTTGCTACAATCAAAGAATCCTGCAAAACCCCTTCCTTCAGTCACATTTACTTGATGTCTAAGGGATATGTGAGGACTGTCCCCTCCCCACTGCCTTTCCTGATGAATTTCGCATGGAATTCGACCAGTCAGGAGGATTTCTCCATCTGGCTTACCACTAACTTGAAGTGAACATAAATACAGACTAAAAACAGAAGAGGCAAGAATAGGAATTCATATTGACTTTATGACCCACCAATTAGGATAAACACAAAAGCTTACTTGTCCAGCAGCAGGGAACTTCCTGCCCATTGTGCACCTCACATTTCTGAGGGTCAACTGACTTGAGTCTCTGGAGCCACAAAAAAAAGACAAAGAGCGGGTAGGGGATTGGGATATGTCCTTACTTAAGAAATATAACTGCTGTTAAAAACATCCATTAGCCCTATATTAATATCCAAGAACTGTGTTCAAACAAGCAACACTACCATTCTGGAAGTTCAGGTGTGCTACTTATTTGCTCTAATGTCTTAGGAACCCACGTTCATTATTTACTTCCTGGGGCCGGAACAACAGTAGAGCAGGAAGGGCGTTTGCCTTACATGCGGAAGACCCGGGTTCAATTCCCAGCATCCCATATGGTCCCCCCAACACCGCCAGCATTGCGAGGTGTGACCCAAAAAGAAAAAACTTTACTTCTTTTGGTTTGGGTCACACCCAGCAGTTCTTGGGGGACGATATGGGATGACACAGATGGAACCTGGCTCAGCCATGTTCAAGGCAAAGGCCCTACCCTCTGTACTATCACTATAGCCCCTGATAAGTTTTTGGAAAGCAACAATATGTCAAATTCAGTGAGAACTTCTAAGTACACTATTACACAAAGATGTTCTTCAGTTTCTAGTGTCAACCAAATATGAAATGTAAAAACGTTTACTAATAGGATACTGAGCAGTTATATTATATCCAGAGAAGGGATAAGACCGGATAAAATGATAAAATGATAGAGATCCCTTGTATAGTTTAATTTTTGTATCAGGTACAAAGAAGTTTTGAAAGAGATCCACTTTTTAACAGGAGCTCTCACTGGAGACAGGGCTTCATTTTGCTTCCACTGTCTATACCTTTAGGTACAGCTGGATGGAATTTAGAAAAGTAAATTGCAATTATCGAGAAAGTTCAGTTGTATACAAATGTACTGAGTCATATGATCTGCAGAAAGGGCGTAAAGGAACCTCTGTTCTCAACGTGGCATGAATTCCATTAGGTAATAAGAGTGAGTCAAGTGCCGACAATAGGCACAAAGCAGGAGTCCGCATCGAGTTATGCCAGGTGGTCCCAAGTGTCAAGCACAGACAGACTTCTAAACACCAAATACTGGCAATTAACTGGCTGCTAACACTGCAGAGGACCTAGATCACTATGTGAAAAGAACGCTCGTGATTTTATTTACAGATGTTCTGGAAAAGCTGTGAATGTAATGTGTGGAGAACAGATAAGAGGTTGTTAGGTTTTAGAGTCTTAGGCTTTAGAGTCTGAAAACCAAGGGACGGAGATAGTATAAGCGAATGTTCTGGGGAGTGACAGAAATGCTCATTTAAGATCCTGATTGTGGTACGATGATGCATGATGGAGAGCAAAGGCAAATGGGACTTAACCTTGTCAGCTGTGACCTCCGAATACAATGAAGAGCCCGTTCCCACATGCTGCACCGCTCTAGTCACCCATGGGGGTAGACGACCAGACCAGAGTTCACTCACTGGAGTGTTGGGTAAAGCAGGCTCTTACCCTTCCTTACAAGTTGTCTCACTTCCTTGTGTATTTAAAAATGTAATAACATATTTCATTTGGATGTTGTGATCCCCTACTCTTCCCGTGCTCTGCCATTCTCTAATAAACCACTCTCCTCCAATCCCCAGTCACTCCTGGCCTCGGAAGCGCTCCCCACGGCATGCGGACAGTCTGCGTGGAAGGTGGCAGACATAGGCCCCTTTCTACGCTTGTGCCTCATGGATCAGAATTTCCCAGCTTTTGTGGAAGAGGTAGAAAAGGAACTAAAGAAGCTAACGGGATTAAAAAATTAACATCCTAAAAAAAGCTTCTTTCTTAGATACAAGAATAATAAAGAGCATTATTCCAAACACCTTTTATCAATGTTTTATTTTTAAAAACAGGTTAATCCACTTTTTTTTATACATCATTGCACTTCAACAATTACACAAAACACAAATACATGCATCTATGGTTACGCACCGCGTGAGAACCCTGCTGGGTGAGAAAATCTACACAACCATTTATTAAATCAATGTGAAAAAATACAGTATCAACCCCAAAGTATAGCTAGTTGCATAGAATACCATGCTATAACATTTCAAGGTCATTGAAAACAATATGGTAAAATTATAAAAGTTTGCCTTAATTGAATGTACAATATGGTTCAACACATCAGTGCAAAGGATTGAAGAATTTACATAACCACTTAAAGCAATCATACATATATACTGCACTTTATTATATCCGCTCAGTGAACTCTTCCAGCTTCTTAGCAAAATCGGAGGTTAAGCCCTTAAAATCATAGCTTTCAGTTTATATTACTCCTCTTTCTGTACCAGAACTGCACAATTTCCTCATCTGACAACATACAGAAGGAACAAGTATCAGCAGCTTAAAAATGAAACAAGCATTTATTTTATTTTGGATTTCTCCCACCCCCAAAAATATAAATATATATATATATATTTATATACTGTATATATCTGTAGGTTTTGCTGTACTTTACAAAAATGTATCACTAGATGGCAGCAGTGCACTTTAGAACTTTGCCAATTTAACAGCTGCATTAAGTAAAAAATGGCGCATGCATGTGTGGACCCTCAGAGGACCTTTTCACTTCTATTTAAATATTTCAACAAAGGAAGAGGGAAAAAGCAACATTCACAGCACATCAAGCCCAAAATAGTTCACACCTTCTACACTGAAGCATTGTTGAAAATGTACCTGGCTAGGTCACCCTTGCAGGAGAGGCTAAATAAGGCATGCTTTAGACAGTCACTGTCGTGTTGTCACTTGAAAGGGGAGAGAACCAAAGAGGTCCAAGCAGAAAATTTAGCAGGTCATGGTGCCGGCTTCAGGAACCTAAAGACCTGGGAAGAAAAAGTGTTCAGAAGTTAAGCGGGAACACATACTGCCATCAAGGACACACAGGGCTACATATCGGAACAGACTTTGAGCCAAACAGCATGCTCAGGGGCTGGGGGTGATGTTCCAGTCTCCACGTGCCAGGCCACCACTCTGGCCTCTGCAACAGCCCACCCAAAAAGGTGACATGTTTTAATGTCTTATGAAAGACGTTAAGTAACAAGTATGTATCTGGGAACATCATATATAAAGTGAAATGGCGATTATGTAAATACGTGAACCAATGCAGATGGGAAATGTTCCTTTCCAGCATCCAACTCACTACTTTAGTATCAGCTGCTAGGAAATAAAAGCGGCTTTCACAGCAGAGCTCTAGTGAACCACACATTCAACAGATGAAACTCATTAAGTATAATTTTAAATTTCTAAAGGCCATACTTACATTATAAGCAGTACTTAATTTGTGTTTCTCTGGCGCAAGTTTTTATCTTTGTGATTGTTGGTAGAGTTGGTTTTCCTTTGGAGGAAAGATTGCATCAAAAGAGTTATACAGAGTTCAGTTCAAGGTCAACTTTGAAAATCTAACACACACTTGGAAATACAGGGGTTCTTTCACTGCCATCCCTGGTGGAGGAGAATTTTACTGCACAATTTAGGCCATAAAATAGGCCATAAAAATATTCCCGTATAAAGTGCCTACATACCTCAATTAGCAGAGCCTCTGACTCCCAAAAGCAAGACGATGTACCGGTAACTTTTCCTATCCCTTCCCTAGTGAAGCTGGGTCCCCTGTCTAATTTGGACACTGCTGCCAACCTTCTTTAGTCTTGGATTGACTCCAAATTACAGCTCCATCTCTCCTGAGCCAAATGTTGATGGAACCAGGATTACAAATATAGCCAGATGCATGCAGCGATGAGCTTGGAACTGGCTTTAACAGGACCGAAATCCTCTCAGATACACTCATTTTCCAAATCATCAATACAAGATACGCAAAAAACTGATTTCTTCTCACTCGATGTTGCCGAGGAAGACGGCACTGCACATCCCGTCTGGGGATGAAACGGCTGCCAGGTCATGCTGGGTCACAAAGGCTGCACGACCCCACACCTTCCCCTGCACACTGACTGACCTGCTAGTCTGGTTAAAGTGCGAGTAAAGCAACAAAGTGACTGAAATCCGTTTCCAGTAAGGTACTTACATTGGCCCAGCTGGTTCATCGTCTAGGGGATGATTCAGATTGGGAGCAGTGCGTTGAGAAACAGGAGAAGAAAGGAAAAAAAAAACCGTGAGACTCTGCTCGTGAAGAGCGACAGAACAGCAACGGCAAGTGGCAAACATGGCTATTCACAGCATTTAGTCAAGGCCATTCCGTCTGGAGGTGCAAAACACTTATGGAGTTATTATTAAAACTAGATTCAAGTTTTTAATGGCAGGTATGTTGTTTCAATGGTTTTAGTTAACACTTCGAATGCTTGTCATGAAAAACTGCAACTGTAGCGGACAGATAGGCTGCAATATCATCATACTCATCTTGTCCCCAAGTTCCAGTGGTTCACTCTTAGATGAGAAGACAAACCAACATTTCAGTTGTAAAATCCTGCTGTTTGTTTTCTTATGATGAATGCATGCGGTTTTGGCTCGATCCTGCAACACGGCTGGATGTGTGGATGTGTGCGTGTGCTATACAGTAGCCACACATCCTCACTTCCCCAAAGAACACTTTTCCCTTGCTAGTTTGTAATCTTTAGGAGAGCCTTTAGCCTGGATAGTGTGGCTGAGGAAGAACAGGCCGCAGCCGTTCAGCCTGATATGACCCTTCGGCCAGCTCTGCTGGGCCCGCCCAGCAAGTGTCTGCATATTGGAGGACGTGCCGTGACACACCAGGGAAAGCTCAACAGTGAATGGTGACATCCCTCCTTCATAGGAAAAAGCTTGCTCTTGTGCCCTGGCCAAAACCAGAGCCCAAACCTCAAGCCATCAGCTTTTTCACTGAAAGTCAAAATGTTGACATTATGCTGACATAATGTTGACGAAGAAGCCTTCTTAAATTGTTATCTTACGATTCAGGTAAGTTTTTCTCTCCTGTTCCCAACTACAGGTCTCTAGATTCCCTTTAAACAGGGATATGGAGAATTTGTTTTATAGCCACTAAATGGAGGAACAAATATGTGCTCTTAATTTCTTTTTATTTTACAAAGTCAGCTGAACTAATGATTTAGAACAGTTTGATTTCACTGAAGGCTTCCAGAAAACCTCAGCAGGATTCCACAAGGGGGCTTGGTGCACATGAAGCAGTTATGAAGATCACAGTCTCAGTGTAGCCATCTGCAGGAGCACACAGGAGTAATGTCTGTCCCTGAGACATTGCTCCACCTGTTTCTTCAAGGCAACGAAGAGGCAAAGCCACCGCCAGCACACACAGTGACTGGAGCAAAAAAAAAGGTTCCATACAACAAAAAAGGACTAACCACAAACCAACAATTTATCAGCCAAAACAACAGACTAGTGACACGCCAGTGTCTTGGAACAACAGTCACTACCAAACAGGTACAGAGAACAAACTGAGACTTAAGGACGCCCAAGACATCTGTGCATGTACAAAGACATATACCAGGTGTTATGACACGGGAGTCCAGTCTAACCCTCCCTTGGCACAAAACTCTAATCTCCGCGTCCCAGCCAAGCCAGCTCAGCTACATGCTTGAAAGAAATAAGCACTTAAAGGACAGACGTAAGGAACAGACGTTGGAGCGAACTATTTTTAGTGTTCTGGCTCTGCACCTGAAAACACGAATTCTAAAGCAAGAGCGCTGACTCAAGAATATCACCAGTCTAGTCCCATCTCTAGAAGAAAAAGCAGGGCAGGGGATGGCGGCTGCCAAAGCAGGATGCTGCAGGTACCACCCAGGCGCTTCTCCCCACAAGCTTCCCTCGCTCTGGTGCGGGGGAATCTTTCCTGGCGGCTGGCTGGTAAACTCCCTCCCGGCCCAATAAGCTGCTGGCATGCAACGGGCTGCACAGAGCACAGGTGGCCTGAGGCTGCAGGAGCTGCCGAGCGGCGAGTGAGAACAGTGGCTAGTCACACTAACGGCGACACCTCGTGAGCCCCTTCACGTTCCTCCCCATCTCACTGCACATCTACGAGGAGGACAGGGCCTCCTGTCTGGCTCTCTCTGGTCTCAATCACTCTCTGTGGCCACTCTCCTTTCAGTCAGACACAGAAACCACTTCACCCCTAACAGGGAGCTCAGGAAAGGGACAACAGAACTACAGAAAAAAGGCACGAAAATCAAAGTAAATGCGGATTAAAACAGCAAACTGAAATCCAAATTAGTTGTGAAAGTGAATGAAGTAAACTTGAAGAAAAGTGTTAACATCATGAACTGTGCATCGGATAGACTGAAGCGGAGATTAAACAGACTCCAAAAGCATGCAGATCGCTCACTTACCACCATGTTTTAAGGGTTTGATGCAATTGAGGGGGGAAAAAAAAGAAGTCATAGTAACCGACAAATATCAACATACCCCAAAACCCTCAGGCCAAAAGCAGCCTTAACAATGACTGTTCTCTTCTCCGGGAATGTTCTCAGCCACGGCTAGATGAACGGAAGAGGACCAGGGAGAACGGAAGCGGCGCTTCTGGAATCTATCTTATCAAGTTCCTGGTGAGATGCTGGGCCTTGGTGTATCTGGGCGTGCACCGCATCCATCCTGGCAAGGGTGCACTGCGCAGATACCTCTCACAGCAGTGCTCCCCAGAGACCGCTGAACAGGCGAGATGGCCACAGGCTGACTCCCCACTGCTTCCAGCTCACAGAGGACAAGTCTGTCCCACTTACACGCCCTCTGCTTTCAGGAGAATACCAATAACCCAAGCAGAGTAACATTTATTCTAGTTTCCTTTCTTCTTTGTTTCTTTTGTACTTTATATTTATGTCCTATGTAACTTAGTAAG